AAAACCTTTGAAAACAAGCTGGTGAAAGAGCAAATCCCACTTCAGGTTCAGTCTCATCCTGAGTGTTTTCCTAGTTGCAGAATACTGACAGAGCAGAACATGCAAGAATTAACTCAGGTTCGCCTATGCGTTGCCTAATTTAATGCTTTATGTTGAAACTCAATGTGGATCTTCAGAGAAGGATGCAGCTTGAATTTTCTCATGGGGAGATTCAGAGCTTCTTTTATTTGCTTATGTTTCCACTGACGGCGGCTGGGTGGCATATGGTGCCACCTGCTTCCCCACACCCCAGCCCCTGCAGGAGTCCCGTGTGCACGCCTGCTTCTCGGCGCTGGTACCGTTTCACGGTTGAAATGCTGCATGGGAAACACAGCGCAGGGAAAGCATTCTTCTGGGCTGCATCTTCCCTGATTCTGAAGTCGCTTTGTCTCCGCGCTTTGCAGAGATTATTACCTAGTTAAGAAGGTGCAGTCCATGTGAGTTTGTGAATGCATCACTTCCCCTTTCTGAGTCACCAGCAGTAAAGTACAGGTTAGAATTAAAACAGATGGGGGAGGAAATGTTTTAACAAGCTTCAGGGTAAATTAAGGAAAACATCGGGATCTAGATACATAGTGAGAAGGAAAATCAAGTCGGTTTAGATCTCACTGGCTTTCTCAGACATGCCAGAGTAATATATCTTAGCTCTTTCCTCCTTGCCTCTTTCTTTTCTTGAAATGATGGAGAAATTCTCCTGTGATTTGGATGCTCCCTGTGTTCCAGGCATTGTGCTAAGTGTTGCAAATGCTTTATTAGACTTGGGCCTTACAGCAACCTCACGTTGAAGGAATTGCTCTGATTTCACAGATGAGGGAGTGAAAATGGGCTACGGAAGTTAAGAAATGGATGTTACTTAAGCTATAAGGTGGCGGAGCCTGGATTTCTAGGCAGCCCTGGCTGATTCGAACGTTCCCTCAGCCATTCCTTGTCCTCTAACAGCTGGCCTCCATTGCCCTCAGGAACAACAGCGCTTGGATTCAAGGTGACCACAGGTTGCCCTCTCATTCCAGAATTGCTCTTGTCTGTGGCTGATGGGCTGGATCTTCACGTCTCCACTCACTTGACAGGGCACACCAGCCTTGCAGTCCTTTCTCTTCAAGATTGCCAACAGCCTGCAGGTGTCACTTTCATCACATGAGCTCCGCCCTCTGACCACATCTTACCAGCCACAAGGAGGCTGGGAAATGGGTCCGTCCACTTCTGTGCCTGGAAAGAGGGAGGATCTCATTCTTATAGAAAAGAATAAGAAAGCACGGGGAAGGAAGAAACCACCACGCGTAGCCCTTCGACCTGAAATGAGGGAAACAGGCAAAGAATTCTCCAACATTCTCTCCCGTGTTCATCACTGATCAGACCTTTCTACCATCTTTTCTCAGTGTGGCACTAAACTGGCTAATTACCACCTTCGAGAGAAGGCTTGCCTTTGTTCAAGATGGGTAGGATGGTCCCCCCACCACCAACTGTCCCTCTGGAATAAACTTAAGACATAGAACTCATATTCCCCCACCAGGCACCTCCCTAAATAAGTTAGCCTTGTCTCTCTTTAATAATCAGCCCTAAAACTAAAGTCAGTTTCATTGTGTAACCACCTTATTGTATTCTTCATTGTGTGATTCCTTCTCTGTTCTTGGGTTTTTTGTTCTTGCATATAAATTTGAGAATTAGCTCAAGTTTTACAAGAAACAATGGCCTCTGGAATTTCGATTGCAATCTATTCAGAAACTGAAATTCAGAAAAGCTAATTTATCTGAGGATAGACGAGCAGGAAGAGGTAAAACAGGCGATTGAACCCCAAGCCCACCCCAGTCTAGGGAGGGGATCTGGGGCAGAAGCAGGCCCACCAGGGCCCGCCTGTCTGTGATCCCTCAGGCTTCCTCTGTGACTCCTCTTGAACATCGCAGTGTGGTGTTACACTCCTAGTATCAGCGAGGGTTTGACTAAAGGGTGTGCTGGTCCTTGGACTTTTGAAGGAAAAAGGTCTTACTTTTACTTCCTAATGCCCTACTTCTTTTTTTAAAAATTGAAGTGTAGGTGATTTACAGTGTTGTGTTAGTTTCTGGTGTACAGCGCAGTGGTTCAGTCATACACGTGTCTGTATCTCTTTCATAGTCTTTTTCATCACAGGTTATTACAAGATATTGAATATAGTCTTTCCCTCTACTAAACCGTAGGACCTTGTTTATCTATTTTACGTATCTGAGTCTGTATCAGCAAGTCTCAAACTCCTAATTTAGCCCTCCCTACCCCTCTTCCCCCCAGGTAACCGTAAGTTTGTCTTCTCTGTCTGTGAGTCTGTTTCTGTTTTGTAAATAAGTTCATTTGTGTCGTTTTTTAGATTCCACATGGAAGTGACCCCCTGTGGTATTTTCCTTTCTCCGTCTGGCTCTCTTCACTCCGCGTGACTATCTGCAGGCCCATCCATGTTGCTGCAAATGGCACATCGCGGCCTACTTCTGCCTGGAAACTGGGGAAGGCAGCGTTTAACTCCCTGCGTTTCCAGTGTCAGCTGACTTCCGTTTCTTAGTGTTCAGTCAGTAAAGCAAAGGATTTATCAGTTACAAGCACTAGGTCCCAGAAACCTAGTGAAGTATCAAACTTTTTCTGGCCAGGCTGTCTGGGAGCTTTTAGTGGCTGATCCGAGGGCAGTGGATAAAGTAATGCATGTTCAACATTAGACTTTTACTGCTGCCAGACTGTAGCCGAGGTCCATCACCCCCGTTCATGTAACTCCTAAAAGTCAGGTGTGCTGAGGGCGAGCTGCCAGCTTCCTGCCTGTTCCTTCAAGAGAGACTGAGTGAAACTCAATCAGGACTGTGACAACCCAGAGATGCATCTGGGCAGTGCCGTCTGGGAAAGGTCAGAGATGGGGTCCTTCCGCCCCCACGGCATCCTGGTTTTGTGCCAGAGCGTGGAGCTTCTGGAGAGATGGGGTGTCTCAGCTGAGCTGAGCTGAAATCAGGCCAGAAGCACTTTCTGTTTCCCTCTTAGAAACATAGGAATCATACAGTAATACAGTGTGCCTTCCAGATAGTCTGAGCCAGGCTAATGTTTTAGGAGAACGCACCCTTGTGCCCGAGACTGTCCTCAGAACGAACCCCTGAGGCCCAGAAGCCGGCCCCGTTTCCCCACTCTGCACAGAGTTTGGGATGACAGAGCTCACTGAAGGCTGCCGTGGTTTTGGCCCTGGGGGTCGTTTCTGGGCTGCTCCACAGAGGGAAGTTCTGAGCCCAAGAGAACTGCCCACCCCACACCCCAGGTGCCCAACTGCCCAGAAAACTGCAGGAGAAAGAGCTGGGAGGTAAGACTGAGTTTTAAGATCAGTTACTGACTGTGGCAGCCTTAGGTGAGTCACCCAACCTACGGTCCCTTTCAGTTTCTTACTCTAAAAAGTGGGGTGATGATAAGGCCCATGTCATGGGATTCATCTGAGGCTTAAAATGGGATAATACATGTGAGGCTGTCGTACAGACTTGGGGGGATGTTATTAATAAAGACTGTAATGAAGTCTAAGGCCTCGCGACTGTTCCCGGTGGAAGGTTCACCGACAGCTGGTGCTCTTCCTGGGTGGCCTGCAGTGATGTCCTGCGGTGACGTCCTGCTCCCAGGAGAAGGCGGTCTGTGGTGCCTGATTCTCGGCTCCCTCAGGGTATTTGAGCCTCCTGCCTTTGGGCTGTTCCTCGAAGTCTTTCTTCACCAAACAGGACAGCTCTTCGGTTGTGCCGTTTGGGGGCTGGACACTGACGAGAGGTCTGAGAGGCTGGCTGCGGGGCACGTTATGAGTTTCTTCCTGACTCCAGAACTGAAGCATGCGCGTGGGCGTGGGGGGGTGTGGGTGGGGGTGTGTGTAGGTCAGGAGTGTGGGGGGGGTTCTCTGGCCTTCCTAGTTGGTTATTTGTTGTTTACTGAAATCTCAAAGTTCATCCCTTGTCTACCTCCATTAAATCATTTCACACAATATATAGATTTCAAAACTAAGCTCCACCTCTGTGCCAATGACTCTTCCAGGGCAGGGGAGACAGCCGTGAGCTTCCAGGCAGTCACGTGCTCCCGGAGGAGTGCGAGTCCAGCGCAGGAAGGTGAACAGTCGAACCAGTAGCAACAGAGGGTCCTGTGTGGCAACAGGCATCACCCCCGGGGTGGCCCCCAATCTCTCCAGGGCAGGGCTGCATCAGGGAAGTCTGGAGATGAGGAGTGGAGGGAGAGGAGGGGGCTTGGTGGAGGCAGCGAGAAAGGCCCAGGGATTTGAACTCTGGCTGAGCGGCACTCTGCAGCGGCAGGAGCTGTGGTCCCCGGCCAAGCCGCTCAGCCTCCGTGCCCTCCTCTGTATCGTAGTGCCGCCTCACAGGTGTGAGGACAATTAACGGGACTATTCTTTCTTTTTTTGCATTTTTTAAAATTGAGGTGTAGTTGATTTACAACGTTGTGTTAGTGTCACAGGGCTGAAACTGTGCCTGACACTGAAGAAGCACTATGTAAATGTTTGTGAAATAAAACTAAATTGACGATATCACATATATGCAGAATCTTTAAACATGACACAAATGAGCTTATTTACAAAAACAGAAACAGACTCACAGACATAGAAAACAAACTTACAGTTACCAAAGGGGAAAGCGGAGAGGGGTAAATTGGGAGATTGGGATTTGCAGATACAGACTACTATGTACAGAATAGACAAACAAGGCCCTAGTGTACGGCACGGGGAACTATATTCAGTAGCTTGGAATTGCCTACGATGAAAAAGACTATGGAAAGGAACATACATGTGTGTGCATCACTGAATCACTGTGCTGTACATCAGAGACTGACACAACTTTTAAATCAAGTATACTTCAAAAGTTAGTAAGGAAATAAATGAACACACAATGTGTTTAATCTCGAGAGTATATTTTCCTTTTAAGAGTGTTTTTTTGAGAGTACATAATATTTTTTCTAACATTGAACATTGGTCTGTGTTTCAGGCGGATCCCTGAGTCCCGGGCCTTCTTCTCCTCTGGAGGTGCTGTCCTGCAGGTGTTTGTCTTTCGGGGGTAAGAGCAACCGCACATCATGGACCTCGTCGGGTTGCTGAAGTCTCAGTTCCTGTGCCACCTCGTCTTCTGTTACGTATTTATCGCCTCGGGGCTAATAGTCAACACCATTCAGCTCCTCACGCTCCTCCTCTGGCCGATTAACAAGCAGCTCTTCAGGAAGATAAACTGCCGGCTGTCTTACTGCATTTCCAGCCGTAAGATACTTAACGTTTCTCTCTCTGCATCTTCGCGGCTGGTGTGTGTGTGTCAGAATTAGGGCTTTATACACAGGTTCGCGGGGCTTTCAGAGTATGCTGAGTTGGTTTGCTTTGGTTTTGGTTTGTTTCTGTTTGTTTTAGGTTTGAAATGTCTGTTTTACCCTCTTAAAAATGATTATTTTTCTAGTCAATTTACAATGCTGTGTTAGTTTCTGGTGTACAACATAGTGATTCAATTATACATAAATATTTATTTTTTATATTCTTTTTCATTATAGGTTATTACAAAGTATT